TTTAAGCATTTATTCTTAAAAATTGGTATAAATGTTTAACGGGAGTAATTCTGGTGATTTTACAATGCCAACAAAAAAGGCTATTACAACCAATACGCAATTGATCGTTAGGATATTCAATTTTAGCGATCTCATGCCCTTGCTAATAATGCCAAAATTGAATACAATTTATGCGTATACTGTATCACCGCCATACCTGATGTATTTTATCTCCAACAATGTTCCCGTTAAAATTGAAAATGCCATAATTCCGTCAAAAATCAATGAAGCGGAACGAAATGCAAACTTGATCTATAACTCATCAAGGTTGAGTCACATACCAAAAATCAGCTCAATATCTGCAAGCATGTGGAAAAAAAATTGCGGAAAACCCCTAAAAATTGAAAAGGTCGTAATTCCGTCAAAAACCATTGAAGCGGAACGAAATGCAAACTTGTTCTGTAACTTATCAAGATACACTCACATACCAAAAATCAGCTCAATATCTGCAAGCGTTTAGAAAAAAAAGAGCGGAAAACCAAGTGGTACAGATTGACAGACAGACTCAGAGGAAACCTATAGTCCCCTCCGGTTTCACCGGTAGGGGACTAATTAGAGTGGTATGCCAGTAATGGTACTTCTTTTCATTTAATAACATCATTTCTGATGACATCTTCTTAGTAAATAATTCTACTAGAATAAGATAACGTTGAATATTGTTGACGTATACACATTAAGCAGCATTATCTCAAATAGCTGTCAATGAAAAAAAAATGTTCTCGTTCTTGGCCGAGAGTATGCTGAGTTGCTGGCACTTTAATTTGGTTGATAAATCCTACCATGATTTGTTAAATTCACAAGTCATAGTATATTAATTACATACCCGGTATATTATCATTGTTCTTGAAGAACTAATTAAAAAAAAACAAATGTATCGAAAAAAATCAATATTTTTGGAACAGAAGTATTCTTAGCGAAAGTGATAATTGACAATTACAAGAAGTATAACATCTGCTTTAGAATATTTCAATTTAAATTTGTATATGACGATCACTACCAAATTTGATTTTTTTTTCATTCTGAACTAGTAAATGACAATTTGCTATATGATACGTTAAATTAAAAAAAAAAAAAAAAAACAGAACAAAATGAAACATCTTCATCTTCGAAGAAGACATAATTAAATCTGTTCATATTTAGATTACGTATATATACACGTAAAGAGTTCTGGTTTGATATATATAACGCGTTGACACAGCTTCTTTATTTACGCACACAATCAATTAACGCTGAATAGATTCTTCGTCAACTTTAATGTGAATAAAATTCAGCCTTTATTCTTATTTGTTGCCTCGCCTGGGCTAAAAAGTCATGATTTTTCAATAATTGCTCAATTTAACTGACATTTTTTTTGAATCTAAAATCATACATGTATTCATACATCTGTACTATAATGCACAGTAAATTCTTGTACAGTACGCACATAACAGATGAAAAGTCAAAAAATTAAAAATCGGTTTTGTACACATAGTTCGTCTTTACAGGATATCACTGCACAACACCGAACATTTCTACTGTACAGTGTATCACAGTTCAGAGTGCATTTTCCCCCTTCTTTTTAACAAAGTCGTTGGATCATATACCTAACAAAGGTTCATTTCGAGCTCAAGTCTCAAATCAGTGATTGCATTGTATAGGGTGCCAACGAAAATCTATCACATTGAACGATTTATCAAATACAATGTACACACATTAAAATATCCTCAAACTGAAACAACATTTATCATATCACATTTTTTTTACAGCTCAGAGGACCGGACTGCTCCATGGATATGAATTTGAGTTTTACATGAATTTAATGCGATTTTTAGGGGAGGCTATTTTAAACAGAATTATATTTTATTCAAAATGTAGACAAAAAATATTATTTTTTAAAAATCTTTTATCTAATAATGCATATTTTCTTGTACATGTAATTTCAGCTCATCAAAACCCATCTATGTTGTCATCTATATTTAACACCTAGTTAAATAACTGGCCCATTCTCCTAAAAAATCTCAGGTAACGGTTATGATGCATGTCAGCTGTGTTTATGTGAACTTGTTATTTTATGGAATAGACATGTTTTTAATGTACTTTAAGGTAGTATGGGATACCTCTACGTTATGACGTATTTCCGTTTGAAGTATTGTTTTGATTTGCATGAGTGCTTATTATCGGGTCAAAATTTGTAGATACACCGTTGAAAAGAACACTCTGAAGCCTATTTCAATGCAAGTTCTCACAAGTCGGCATTTTAAGTAAAAACAGACAAAAAAATCGCAAGTATATAAATTTACTTATAGTTGTACAACGGACATTTAAAAAAGCAAACCCCTGTAAAAGGTAGTTTCAACATTGCTGCTTTTGAACACTTTAAGCAAAAGCTGAATTTCAATTGTTTGAGTAACTGTACAGCACCTTGTGTGCGGTGAGGCATGGATAAGTGCGATTACTTCACATTGTGCTGAATTATCACCAATCAATTATCACGTTAACCAGAGCTGGACTTTTTTGTTATTTAATTCAAGAAGTAACTGTTTGGTCACAAATCAGCTAGCTGTTGTATATAGTCCCAAAACGTTCAGATGAATGCAATTGCTCTGAACAAGACACGTCCTGGAAAGCGATTGTCCATGCATTGTTTTCAAAACCGCTCAAAGTTGAAAACTACAAAGTGCGACTTTTTTATGGTTGGGAAAAAATGCTCATCATTTCTAGAATAGCACCCAGGTTTTTTCAACCCTTGGAAAATAAAGAAGGATAACTCTTCCGCTCGGATCTTTTAATTCAAAAAATTTTATATGCATTTTATATTTTTTATTTATATATATATTTTCAATTTGTTTATTTCACTTTGCTAACATATTAAGATACATTCTTATTGTAGACTTTCATGAAATGTTATCCGTCTGTTTTCAAGAAATAAAGTTTTCCCAGTTTTTTACGCTTATTTTTTGTTGAAAATTAAAAAAAATACTAAGACATATTTCTTGTCATTTTTGTTTTTATAAACACTTTATATTAGCAAACGCCTGCCTATAATATTAAGCTTATGAAAAAAGAATTATGCAAGAAAAAAATTCGTTTTTGTATTTCTCATTAAATAATAAAAAAATTATTAAAATTACACTTTAATATACTGAAAGGTGGGGGTATTTCAAATCCTTCTAATTTGGGTACATAAATATGTAGGAGAAGTTTCGTTTGGTATCCCATACCACCTTAAGTCTAAGAAAGCTGTAAAAGATTATAAAAGTATAAGGATACGTAAGTTCTGAACAAAAACTTTTGAATAATGTACTTCTCCAAGAGGTTATTTTTAACAACATATGGTTGGTACTTTCACTTTACAATTAAAACTCTTGCAGTCTAAATTTACTCTTAATTGTCAGTGCAATATTAGTGAGATATTGATAATACGTGTACTACCAGGCTGTCTGAGTATTGATATCTTTCACGACTGACTGCTATTAGAATAACAAGGTGAAAATAACGAACTCTGATCAATCTCGTAAAAATCTACAAAGAATTCAAATTGTGAACAGGGCATAAAACACGGACCTTTGGAAATTCCGGAGGGGGGATAAGGTACCTAGGATAAGAAAGCATCCTTTGTTGATCGGTCACATCCGCCAAGAGCCTTACGTATTGATCAGGATCGGGAAGCACGAACGTGGGTTAAATAAACTCACTTTTAGTGTCGTAACTAGCTGTTAATTTCTGAACGATGAGTTATGAAACTGTCTGTTAGAAATTGTTGTTCAAAAGTCTAATAAAAATAAATTAACTAATTCACATTTAATTCATGTCTTATAGTTACATGCATCTCTCAGTTAAAATCGTTCTACAAGCACATTTCCCCTGTCTATGGTGAAATATTTCTGACGTCATAATTAAAATTTATATTTCTTTTAATTTGCTAAGGTTATTTATATTAAACGGTAATCATATATTGGTAAAATTTATTAAAAATATTATTAAAGATTGTTACTTCAAATATGATTTTTTTTTTTTACATTGAAAGATTGTCATTTTGCATGCAATACAAATAATACAATATTACAAAGTATGTATATGTAGTTTTCTGTATTAAGTTCTAGCACGATATGTTGATTTTTGGTAGGGGAAATTGAAAATGATAAATTAAAATCTCTCTAAAAGTAGGAGAGGAACACCCCCTCCCCGTTTTCCATGCCTAAAGTTTGTGGAATTTAACGATAAACCTGCTTTTCAGTTACTTGTCTGAGGTTTAAATTTTCTTTTAAAATGATGATCTTTTCGATAAAATATAATGACATTTATTGTATGCATAATCAGATAAAGAAAGTACCTACATTTCCACGCATATATATATATATATATATATATATATATATATATATATATATATATATATATATATATATATATATATATATATATATATATATATATATATATATATATATATATATATATTGTTACGTTCCGATAAGTTTACCTGTGAAATTCGGATTAACTGTTGTTGACAAGTTCCGAATAAGCGGACCCTGAACCCGATGTGTATAAACTACTATAGTCTGTCCCACGACCGGAACGTCACTACTTTTTGCAAGATATCTCAAAATATATAAATACCTTGGCTTTCAACCTAGGTTCGATCGGTAGATTGATTTTTTTCCAAACTTCCTGCATTTATACGTACCCCCGAGGTCAACCGGTGTATTGACACGGCGGCAAATTCAAAGTCTACGGGGATTTAACATTGTCAAAATGGCAGCCACTTCGGAAGGGGATCCATCATTATTCGTAATTTTCCGTACATTGCCGTCAGTGAGGTAATGACGTCACGCAACTTCGGGAATGCTCTGTGCTTATCGACGTCCAAAAAGCTATAAAGCCCGAAACTTGCCAAGTATATATTAAGGCCTATATAGGTTATATAGGTGAAATTACGTCTTCGACAAAACTTTCATACCCAGGGTCAGACAGAAGGGAACAAAGATTTTTAAAAACAGCTAGCCTATACACTGCATAAAGAAAAGAGGTATGACTCAATTCATATATCCTAAGATTGTAATTATCATGTTAAAAACAATCGAGGCAACTGCAAATTTAGCTCGTGACCTGACTGCTTTTATTGCCAAAACGTAGAGATCTAAGTTCTAATAAGCGTAGTCATATTATTAAGATTATTAAAATTGCTGTTTTACCTTACTCCTTAGCCTAGCTTCCACATAAATCCAACTCCCTATAGTTTGTTATAAACACGGTCGAAAGAGGCATCGTATCACTTCTATGTGAACAATTGATGTCCGTAACTGCACAATATATCCTGTTTTTGTTAGACTTTCAACACTTTAAACACATAAATCCACAATCAATATTATATTTTGAATCTCGGTGCAAAACAACTATTGTTGTCTGCATCAAACTACGTCACCAATGGAATTTGACCTTGCCCTTCGAAAACTTCCTGTAATATCGGCATTAGGTAAATCCAGGCCCTTGGATGTATTTTTAGTGTTTCCACAAATATAACAGAAAGCCAAAAATTAAATACTCAGTCTTACACACAAAAACTACATAACACAAGCGTAAAAGATTATACTACTTTTTTATTTTAATTTTTACCTTTTCTTTTTTTATCATCTTATTTTTTTCTTTTGGTAGAAAGTTCAATAGTCTTACATAAAAAAAAAAAGATTAAACATGTATATATATTGACACTTTCTATACAAGTCAGAGCCAGCTGCTAGTTTGATTCTCATATAATAATAAAAAAAAATATTTATTCATAAAAACAATAGATAAAATTTTTGAAACAAGAATTTAATTGCAGGCTGCAGGATCATGAAACAGACATAATTTCAATTGCCTGTAAAATGTTTATCATTTATTGAGTTAATCTCTAATTTTGCAAATAACAACACTTTTGTAAAGCAATATTGTAAAATAGTTTAATTTTGGCCTGCTTGATTTCTACAACATTTTAGTACAACATAAAGATTTTGACTTAAGCTTAAGATGTTTGATGATCCCGGGGCCAGGATACCAAAAAGCTACCCGGTGAAGACACAATATACTTTGAAAATGGTCATTTTTACCCTATAATTCAAGAAGTGTATGAAGAAATGCAGGGAATTCAAGAAAAAATCACCCTAAAATTTTAAAAACACCATATTGAATATAGACAAGCACAAACAAACAAGTAGTACATAAAATAAATTCAGCCATAAGTAGCTGCAGATACATCCTAAGTAATTTTTGCTATATGGACTGTAGATACTTGAGCAGTCTGGGCAGCTTAGTTGTTAGAATACCTCATTAGTATACAAGTATTTGTAATGCAGAGGTCCTGGGTTTGATTCCCAGTCAAGCAAAATGTTTTTCCTCATGTATTTGTAAATTTTCAAAGTATGTTTATTCATTATTCCATTCCCTGGTACATATGGCTTCCTGATATACATTTTTTCTAAATTGCATAATACTATGGAATCATTTTAATTTGTGGAGGTCAGTGTTTGTGGGTAGGCATATAGTTTTGCTGTTTTGTGGACAAAATACAATCAAAGGAATTAATGGATTGATTAAAATGTTAAAATAAGCATTTGTGGAAATATAAATTTATAGGTATAGCTGATCCATGTGATAAAATCCAAGAATGTTGGTCCCCCACAAACAATGATGATTCCACAGTAGATGTCAATCAGTTTTTGTAAGCTACCTGTCTGAAATGGGCAAAGTAATTAATCATACTCAGATAATTGTTTTCAAAATTTTATTACTGCTTGTTTAACAGCTAGATATATGTTTTTTTAAAATTATCAAATAGAATTGCTTCAAACTTTAAACACATTTAGTGAGATTACAGGAAATATTGCAAACGATTAATGAATTGTCTTTCCTTTATTTAAAGATATCAGATCAAATTTAGAAGAATAAATGATTATGAAAATTGAGTGCCCAATGCTGCTGGTGTCCATGCTTTTGAAAAAAGAAGTCATGACTCAGATTCCATAGTGAGAAACAAGTCATGAATGAAGATTGAGAAGGAGTGTTTATGTTTGTCTCCATTAAAACTTCTGTGGTGAATTGTTGGTGTCTGGCTCGTCCAATGATCAACCCATTGGTAGACTACCAGGTAATCTTTCGTTCAGCCAATATACTTTAAGCCTGAAAAAAAAGATGATGTTGAAACACATTTTAATCCATCATAAAGATTCTGGTGCATGAAGTTACTTTAAGTCTGTGCAAATTGAAATTTAAGGAATAATGAAAATTCAAATGATTATACTTGAACTTGCATTACTTGTTAACATGAATTGCTACATATTAAAAATGCATGTATGTAGTCAATTTTCAATTTCAGATTCCAACCTGAAGGATACATGGGAAGAGTAAAACCTTTTTCATTTATATAAAAACTTACTAGCTATAGTCTAGAAGAATGTCCTGAAACCTGAATGTTTAGTCCACCATCAGATGAATTCAATCACATTATTCTGAAAAATTGAGTAGATAGTCTTCTACATGCATGCATGCATGTCTTAAAGTCACACTGTCTGGTCATCATAACTTTGCACTCCAATTAATTATACCTTCAAAAATGTTATTTAGTAATTAATAAAGGCATCATCAAATATTTTTGCTTTGGTTATTATTACATTTCTTTGATCAATGACTTGTCTTTAAAATTGTAAGGACTGCAATAGGAAGATAAAACTAAAAAAACCAGAAGTCTCTGTCGAGACTCTAGCTCTACTGGTTTGTACTTATAACAAAGGAAGAGAAAAGTAGCACTTGGACTTGAAACTTTGCAACAGAAATAGATAAATAATAATCCTTGTTTTACTCTCTTTTTGTTGCAAGATGAATTGCAATCAGACTAAAACTGTAGAAAGAGTAGCCTTTTAAAAGAATTTTAGAGAAATTTTGATTCTAGTTACCATGGCAAAATCATTCATCAAAATAAAAAAAATAAAGACTATTATGTATCTCAGTGTAGTCTACTTGCAATGCCAAGTTATATTAAAATCAGACCAAACTGTAGGCGAAGTAATATTTTGTTTGTTGTTTAACGTCCCTCTCAAGAATTTTTCACTCATATGGAGACGCCACCACTTGCCAGAGGAGAGCTGCAAATTTTGACCTGTGCTCGGCACTCAGGGCCATTGAGCAGTAAAAGATCTTTTTTGTGCCAGCACCTACTGCGACATGGGACCTTGGTTTATACGGTCTCATCCAAAGGACCGGTCTCCATGTCCCACAGTGGGATTTAACCTGCGATGTAAGGATCAACTCCTTACTCTGTGACTCTAGAGCAAACATTCTACCACTGCGCCACACGGGTGACAAGTAATGTTTTGAAAGTATGTCAAAGAAATTTCAGCTTTTTTGTAACCATGGCAACATTTCACCAAAATCAAAAAATGGATATACAGAATTATGTATCTCAGTGTAGTGTACTTGTGTGCCAAGTTATATTGAAATCAGACCAAAACTTTAGGAGGAGTAGAGTTTTAAAAGTATTTCACAGAAATTCTATTTTTAATTACCATGGCAACACCATGAATCGAAATCAAAAACCAATAAATAGAATATATATGTATCTTAGTGTAGTCTACTTGTGTGCCAAGTTATATTGAAATCAGACCAAAACTGTAGGAGAAGTAGCATTTTGAAAAATTGTTTACAGACAGAGAGACAGACGGATGACGGACACCTTACTATCGCATAAGCTCTGGAAAGTCAGGACATGATTGCTGAAACACTCTGTATATTCATCTACCAAGATAGTTGTCTATACATCAATACATGTACACAAATGACCCTTAGAAATCGGTCCTGTAAAATTGAAAAAAACTTTGGGCTAAAGGTATATTTTAGATGTTAGAACTTGTAAAAAATACACATTTTTCAATAAAAATTCAAAAAAAAAAAAAGCCAAAAATATGTGTTATACATACATAATATAGAAAACTCTATATTGATTCCCCAGGGTGTTGACACTACAAATAAATGTAAAAAGAAAATGCATTTTACATCATGTAGATTGTGATTCACTGTCAAAAGCATGAAATGTTGAAAGAGAAAGTATAGATTTCATATGTTGAAAATAATGTTTTTACCAGCTGTTATTTTCTTTATGTAATCTTGGTGTTATTTTAAAGCTTTTTTTCCTAATTGTTTAATCAGCTGATTGTGTCATATGTACCTTTTTACGTTTTTTTTAACACATACTTCTGTATATGGGCCACTGTTAAAATGCCAAATATACATATACCACGCGTTTTGGCATATTCTTACAATTTGGAAACACTTCTTTCCTGTGTGTACATTAGGTAGTAAAACAACAACAGAAAAAAATATAAATAAAATTAACAACTTACGTTTTTAAAAACATATTCTTGCATCATCATGTCAACATCTGTATCCACAACTTGTACTGCATTATACTCGGCCGCGGACTATTTTCTCGGCGTTTATGACAAAACTCGTTATACATTGTTAAAATATATCTTAATTCAAATAAATACTCACATTATTAATAAAAACACTTTAAATTACGTCCTTTGATTTTCTCAGATTTTTCGAATTTTACTTTGGAAAGAACGACTACTCCCTTCAAAAACTGGTTCCCCGCCCCGTAATCTAGACGCTAATGGACGAGTTTACCATGTTAATCCCCGTAGACTTTGAATTTGCCGCCGTGTCAATACACTGGTTGACCTCGAGGGTTCGTATAAATGAAGGAAGTTTGGAAAAAAATCAATCTACCGATCGAACCTAGGTTGAAAGCCAAGGTATTTATATATTTTGAGATATCTTGCAAAAAGTAGTGACGTTCCGGTCGTGGGACAGACTATAAAATATTTGTCAATGAACAATGAACGAAAGAATTGAACAATGATTTATTATTTGAACTTTATCAATTTGATTTATGTATTGTAATTACAAAGCGTCATGTTGTATATGTTCTATATAGGTACAACATTATAAAGTAATTTTAGTGGTCAAAACCCGCTAACTTACAAATTAGATATTGATTGTGACGTTATTGGTATGTGACGTTTATACGTCATCATAACAACTTTTGTCTATAAAAGACAGCTGTTTTGTGTTTAGAAGGCAGTCTGCATTGGGTTGCGACTCCGTATACTTCGGGTGTAAGACAGTGGTATGTACTAACAGTACCAAGTCTATGTATACGAAATCATTAGTGAAGAGTCATTCAGAGTAGAAACGTCCTAGATTGACCATTGGTTCGTCATCTTTGTATTAACCAAATAACGTTGTACCAACCAAGTTTATCATTGTGCTTATAATTGAACCATTTGATCGTCTTAATGAATATCATAAACTTTACAACGTGTTGTCACGGTTCTAGTGCAGATATTACAGTGAGCTAAAAATTGGTCATTTCGCCAATTATTCAGTGGACCAAAAATTGGTCATTATTCCGATTGTATATAAACTTTGTGGATAGCCATTTCAACCTTGACCAGTTACCAGTAACCAACAGCGGCCCACGATTAACTGATTAAGTAATAACCATATACCCTCGGTTTCGTTACAATATATATATATATATATATATATATATATATATATATATATATATATATATATATATATATATATATATATATATATATCTAATTTTGTTTGTATTCTAGCTTCTGATTGGTTAATATCCAAAAAGTAGCACAAATTAATTCTGTATAACCTGGTTTGGTATGGGGACACACCGCCTGACAACCAGCTGAATCATCTGTATCTATGCAGTTCTCTCATTCCAGTCCTCATAATTCATGGAAAATTCCAGATTTAATAAATGTCCCTTTAAATCAAAGATAACTCGATCTTACCACATGTAAACAAACAACATGGCTGCTAGGTCTATGTATCAGTTTTTACCTCCCCTCACTTCCCATCTCTTCCGTTACTACGGTTGTATTATTGGGCACCAAATATGAAATAATAAAAGGCGACGAAATTTTACACCCATGGTTGTTTAATGATTTTAAAATTAAATGATAAGGAATGACTCTAATTCTTGGCCAAATTATTCCAGTATAACCTGGTTTGGATAAGTTTACGCTGTTTTATAATCCGCTTCGCGGATTATAAAGCGTAAACTGACCCCAAACCATGTTATACTCGAATAATTTGGCCAAGAATTAGAGTCATTCCTATATATATATATATATATATATATATATATATATATATATATATATATATATATATATATATATATATATATATATATATATATATATATATATATATATATATGATTTAATTTTGTTAGTATTCTAGCCTCTGATTGGTTAATATCCAAAAAGGAACACAAATTATTTCTGTATACCCTGGTTAAGTATGGGGACACCCCTCTTCCCCCCCCCCCCCCCCCCCGACTACCAGCTGAATCATCTGTATCCATACAATACTCTCATTTCCAGTCCGCGGGATTCATGGAAAATTCCAGATTTAATAAATGTACCTTTAACTTGAAACAATAAGTCGATCTTACCACATGTAAATAAACAACAAGGCTGCTAGGCTATGTATCAGTTTTTACCTCCCCTCGCTTCCCATCACTTCCGTTACTACGGTTGTATTATTGAGCGGCAAATTTGAACTAATAAAAAGCAACCAAATTTTACACCCATAGTTATTTAATGATTTTAAAATTAAATTATAAGCAATGTCTCTAATTCTTGGTCAAATTATTCGAGTATAACCTGGTTTGGGTCAGTTTATGCTGTTTTATAATCCGCGAAGCGGATTATAAAGCGTAAACTGACCCAAGCCAGGTTATACTCGAATAATTTCGCCAAGAATTAGAGTCATTCCTAAAATCTCTGTATAAGTTCTTCCTTCCCCGTAAACAAGTTTTGAAATGATAAGTCAACGATTTTGATTTTAATATTTAATGTACCTAGGTAACCTCAGTTAGTTAAATCAGAATAAGCTTTAACAAATAGTTAAATTTTGTGCAACCGGTTTAACTCGCTGATAAATTTAACGTCGGGCTAACGCAAAGTTAACGGCCAGTTAATGCCCTGTTCACACGGAGAGTTTAATTCGCAGTAAATTAATGCAAAGTAAAATGATGCGAATTAAAATAATTCGATTTAAATTGCGTTCACATGACAGCTAATGCAAAGTTAACTAATGCGAATTATAATTTTATTTCCACAACATGGCTATTCAGTGAGGCTATTATGACGTCATTTACAAATCACGTCATATTGTGCAGAGCATATATACATTTGTTATCTCAGATAAGTGCATATATAAACACAAATATTATATTAAGAAAAACTTTATTGTGGCGATAATTGGGCACAGCTCTATATCCAGTGACACGAATTCCTATTGATGTCTCTAGCAACACAATGGATGGGCCGCCAATCACAATGGGCAGGCCTTACAACATAAGCACAATTAACATCATTTAATATTCAAA